TGTTGGAAAAAGGACGAATCAGAATTCTTGTAGGAATTACAGATGAATCTGATTAATTTCTTCCTGTTAAATTTACCAAATTTTCTGGTTAATAATATTAAAATCCCCAGCACCGAGTCGTCTAAAATTTTTTCCATTTAATCTCAAAAGTCTGTTTAATATTTTAAATTCCAACAAGATTATTGGATAAATTCGATCTAGATTATTGAATAAATTATTTTAAATTCAGTTTGTTAGAAATTAAACTGATAAACAGTGATGCAAGAAGAGGATGCAGCTCAAACACACACAATCAGAGAGCTAGCGTCCTCCTTCTGGCACTATTGCTCGTAAAATAAATATACTTTGGATTTAATATTAATATTAATTCTTTATATACATTTCATGGCAAATATTTAATACGAGTAAGAATTTAATGCAACAAGAAATTTTATAGATTCAACCAGAAAATACTAACCAAATCCTTACAGTAAGATCTATTAAAGTTCTAGTAAAAAATCGAGTCTTATCATCATAACTAGAAATTCTTGTTTGATTTAACCAAAATGCCTTCAATCATATACGTCTTGTTGATATAATCAGACGATTTTTCTCAGTGTAGCTCTCTGATTGTGTGTATTTGAGCTGCATCCTCTTCTTGCATTACTGTTTATCAATTTAATTTCTAACAAAATAATTTGAATTTAAAATAATTTATTTGTTAAAATAATTTATTTGTTAAAATAATTTATTTGTTTATGAATTTAAAATAATTTATTCAATAATCTAGATCGAATTTATTATAATAATCTTGTTAGAAATTCAGAATATTATGCAGGCTTTTGAGATTAAATGGAAAAAATTTTAGACGACTTGGTGCTGGTGAGTATTATTAGTATTATTAATCAGGTTTAGTATTATTAATTAGAAAATTTGGTAAATTTAACAGGAAGAAATTACTCAGATTCATCTGGTAATTCTTTTAAGAATTCTGGTTCGTCCATTTTCCAACAGACATACTGGTTGAATCTACCAGAATTCTAATTAATGCAACCAGATTTTTTTTTTCAGTGTGGATATTATTGCCATGTCTTTGTTTTAAATTTTGAACGAAAACACGTCGATGTCAATTGAATTTCTCGTTTCAGGAGAAAGGAAAATATAGGAGATATCTTGGTAGAGAAGAGAGAGAGAGACACGTTCGCGTACATCCAATATTAAAATTTAAATGAAATTCGCAAAGCGTGAGAATTTGAGTCCGAGAGGATGCGCATTCGGCTTCTCGCTCTCGGCGGAGGTTCGCGAATAAAATCCTCCCAGAACATATTCCGCGAGAAATTACTTAGGCGTCATCCTGTCCTCCGTTTTGAAATATACCCGCGCAAAACTGCGGAGGTCGCGCGGATCCGACCGTCGTATTTTGCACGCAGGTATAATAAACGCTACGAGGAGAGACGAAGAGGGAAGAGCGCACGAGCCGGAAAAAGAGCTCTCCTAGCCATCGCGTGTATATTCGCGAGGCATGACACGTGTATTTATGCGATATGACTCGGAAAGAAAGAAAGAGAGAGGAAATACCGGCGCCTGCCGGCTGTCGCGGGCTATTCCGACCCAGTCTACCATCTCGCATTTTCATCCCGACGATGCTCGTTCATTTGTACACCTTAATGAGGTAACGCGGAAAAATGACGTGCGACGAGCTTAACGTGTCGCGACTAACGATCGTTGATCGTTGCACTTTTTCCTCCCGTTCTTGTTATTATTTCTCGCCGCGAAATTCCATCAAACTAGTTTGCAGCCGTGCAAAATCAAGCTGGGATTCGAATCTCCAGGAAGCCATTTATGTCACATCTATAGAAACTCGTGAGTTGTGTACAGAGGCGCGTGAGTTTGTGTGATGTATTATTAGTTTGATTTCACGCGGGTCAACTCTCTCGATTAACTTTTGACACATCGCGCGCGCTGACATTGTTCCCTATTGAAACCTGAAATGCCCCAAGATTTTTCTTCCCGTTTCAACGTTTCCCCTCGATCGCGACGTTGAGATTTCTCCCCGACACTCGAGATGTCAGTGGCACTTCCGTCAGATTCCGTGGAACGTGTATACGCAGCGCATTATGCATCGCTGGCAAGCTATAGCCAACTAGCTGCAGCACCTGCGGCCTTTAAATGCCCGACGTCCAGCCGGCGTTTACGGTTTTACGTACCGTAGAGGTAGAAACCACGTCGATTGCCTCGATAATACCGGAGAGAAAACGCCGGTCGGCCATTATCCGGACGTTTTCTCGTGAGATATTGGGCGTAAGTGGCGACGATTCGTCGCTCATCTCCTTCTCGGCGTCCACGTGGAAACTTTATGCACGTCTAACGTCCGTGACAGCGATGTCCTCGCCAATTATCGTCGAGCCTCGACCGAGAATTCAATGTAAACCTCGTTATTATTCTTTCAGAGACGTCGCGCGATCTCGACCCATTCTTTCATACGTTACGCGGAGGGATGGCACTGTTGGGGGCCTTGAAAAAAAAATGGGAAAAACGCGAGGGACCTTGCCGAGAATTATCCCGTCGTCCTCCTGTTCTCACCGCTATTGTCGTAAATCGCGACGGGAGGCAGCCGATCGTTGCCGCGGCTCGACGAGTCGACCGTCGTTAAAGATAGCAATCACGCTCGATAACCGATCGTTATATCCTTACGACCGATATGCGCCTCGCTTTAAACGCGATGCCCGTCAACGCTCGAACACTCGAGACGCCCCCGTACAATGTTTCCCTTCGACGTTGAAGAGGCGCCTCTCCTCGCGCGGTTGAGAGACTCTCTCTTTCGCGGCAGGATGACGGGCCGTCATCGTTTCTCGCGGTTCGTGGGCTCGTTAACGCTGGGATCCCCGGATACGACACGACGTGAATTGCAACTTTGTAACAGGATTCTTCTCGTGATGTACGGGGAGGATGGACTACTTAACGTTATCCTCCTGGCTACACGTCGCGTCACAAATAAATGAGATTGATGAAGGGAAGAGTTTTGTTATATCGTGAAAAATATCTTCGGTAGCATTAATTTAATTTTTTTTTTTTTCGCATTGCTAGGGGAAAGCGCGCGAACATTGGCGACAATTTTTCCTAGGATCCCTCTCCTCTTGATATATTAAAATAATGATCACGTCTGATATTGGAGCTTTATGTGTTCGTAAAATTCGCTGGAGAGAGAAGAGATATTTGAAATATCTCAATGTGTTTCGACGTGACACACATCGCTGATATAATCTTCGATTATTTAATGCCGAACGTTCTCGAGAAATGGATAATTTCAGATGCATATTTTAGATATAGGTTTTCAGGTTGTTTTGTACCTATTTTCAAAATATTGAGAATTTAATGAAAATTCAACAGAATGTCTTTACATATATTTAGAATCTTCAGTACAATTTTTAAATCGATTTATTAAAGCGTTTACAAGTTATAAGGAATTTAATTTGCACCGAATTAACATGTGTTCTTATGGGAAACGTATAACCACGTCGATTCAAATGACAAAAACACATGGAAATAATATTCAGAATTTGTTTAAAATTCTGAATTGAAATTGAAATTGCGAAAGTGTAGTTTAGATACAGAGGAAATATTTGGTCAAATAATATTATACAAGTACCAACTGGTTAAAAAGATATTAAATATAATTCAATGAAGTTAGCCATATATCTGTCACAAGGCAAAATTCTCTACCAAAAGTTAATCATTTCGATTAAGAATGTTTTGTATGTAAATACAATTACCCAGAAAAAAATAGTTGAAAATCAATATTGACGAATATATCCACTTTTGATGTAAGAAATTGTGTGGAATATTACAATTTGATCTTAGCTGGTGTAGAAATGTATTTTTTAATATTTATTACATTTTTACTGAAATATTTCGAATTTTGTTAATCGAAATAATTAACTTTTGGAAGAGAATTTCGCCTTGTGACAGATACATGGTTAACTTCATTGAATTATATTTAATATCTTTTTAACCAGTTAATACTTGTATAATATTATTTGACCAAATATTTCCTCTGTATCTAAACTTTTGCAAATTTTAAACAAATTCTGAATATTATTTCCATGTGTTTTTGTCATTTGAATCGACGTTGTTATACGTTTCCCATAAAAACATGTTAATTCGGTGCAAATTAAAATCTTTATAACTTGTGAACGCTTTAGTGAATCGATTTAAAAATTATACTGAAGATTCTAAACATATGTAAGGATATTCTGTCCAATTTTCATTAAATTTTCAATATTTTGAAAATAGGTAGAAAACATCCTTAACAAAATTCGGAATATTTCAGTAAAAACGCAATAAATATTAAAAAGTACATCTCTGCACTGTAGCTAATTGTAAGATCAAATTGTAATATTCCACACAATTTCTCATACTCAAAATACACCAAAAGTGGATATATTCGTCAATATTGATTTTCAGCTATTTTTCGCTTATTGTGGATTCCTTCGGAATATTTCCACATGAGACGAGAGATCCGAGATCGTTGATATATCGAATAATTCATAATATATACGGTATCATCCAGTCTGACGATAAACGAAAGTGCGGACGCATAGATGGGAATATACGCGTATTCTAGAAATACGTAAATTTATACGACACGGCTATTCGCGAATTTATCGATTCTCACCGAGCAAACGTCTCCTTCTCTCTTTCTCGTACGCGCACCTAACGTCCTATAAATCTATGTAGCTTAGAGAATCGTGGACGTTAGTGATGCCGGTAGGATAAATTAATCGAGCGAGGATGCACGCGAGAGAGAGAGAGAGGGCCATAATAAAATTAAGAATAATTAATCACGACGACGGGGCTCATTATTCAAGGTATCAAGTTCTCGTTTATGCGCACCGGCCCAAGTATAATTGGCCGCTCTCTCTCTCTATCGTCGGTCCTTTTTCTCGCTATTCCCATCATGCTTGTAAGACAAAGGTCGCCGCTTTTAATCGGTCACGACCCCTCGAAATTTCTGTTCGCAGGCGGCCAAAATGACACCCGGCCGCGGGTATTCTCGCCCAGGATGGACTACGACGAGTGGACGCCTCTGGGACGCGGTGATCCTCTGAAGAACAACCCGACTTTCGACTACGTGCCGCCGGTCCTCGACAGGGTGCAATACTGGTTGGACTCGCATCAGCAGCACACTACCGAGCCGTCATCCAAGCGCGATATCCTCGTGCTGGGCGTGACCGCCAAGAAGACCAGCCCGAAGATACCCGAGCAGTTTCTAAAGTTTGTGGACGGGCCCAAGTTTACGCGAACCGGCGCTCACGATACAACTGTCTACAGGAACGACTTCACCGGAAACAACGGCGCCGAACCGCCCAAGGTCGTGCGCACCACTAGCTTCCGAAACGGCCTGGTCGATTATAGAAATCAGAATAGGTTGCAGTCGCTGCCGGCGAGTTACTATCCGAGCTCGTATTACAATCAGAAGATCAAGCCGTACACTATGATGATGCCACCGCCGGTGGTACAGAAGATTGAGACGTCTACTGGCTTCAACGTCGGGGTGTCCAAGGATAAGATAATCGGCTACGCGGACGCGCCCCAGTTTAGCACTCAGACGGAGGAGGGTCCTGTTCTCCAGGACGCGCAGTATTATGGATCACTCTCGAAGGATTACGGACATTATTCCCCGGCGCCCTCGCCGCGACCGTATTCCACGTCCAAGGCGCCGGTGAGCAAGGTCGAGACCATCAAGAGTGTGTATGTACCGTCCGCATCGCAGAGCACGAAATCGAAATACGAGGCAACCACCGCGCCGTCCGTATCCTTCGAAAAATCGAATCTGATATATCAATCGACGCAGACTCTGTCCGGCGGATGGCTCGGCAACAACGAGCCCACGTCATCCTCTACTCCTGGACTTCCTTCGGACGTTAATCAGGTCATGTGGCAGACCACGGATTATTCGAAGGATCATTACGAGGTCGATCATCAAGCCGCGGCCTCGTCGAATCACGAGGTTGTCGTTGGCCAAAACGCGAATATCATTGTAGACGGCAATAATGATGAAAACGAGGAAGTGGTCGTGGGTCAGAAGGAAATCAGCACCGAGGCGACGTCCTCGTCGACGTCCTCGTCGACGTCAGAAAGCTCCCCGCAAACTTTTACCGTCTCCACCACGACTGTAAATTCTACCGAGCGGGAGGAGGAAACTGTGACTGACGCGCAATCTTCGCCAAAGATGCACATTGTCGTCGCCAACTCGCCGTCCAGCATCGTGGATCTGGAAACGCACAAAGCGAAGAAGGGTCCAGTTGCCGTAGTGATGCCGACGAACTACATCGAGAAGAACTCGTCCTTCGGTTCGGAATCAGCCACGACTCTACACACTTGGGAAAATCCTGCCACGTCCGAGATGACGAAGACGACTCATCAAGCGTCAAAGTCTCAAATGCAGCCAATGAAGAGCGCGGTAACCAGTTTACCGATCTTGACAGAAGACCATCCGTCCGTTTCCTCCATGCCAAACAGAATGATATCGCCTTCGCAGTTTGCACCGCATCAACTTCCGCATTCGTCTTCCGTTCCGATAATGCCCCCCAGACACTTGGGTAGTTCTCCGCACATGTTCGTTCCTCCGGCGGCCTCTCAATCGATGATGCGTCCTCAGACTAGACCGTATCACTCCATGATGCACTTTATCGGCGGTATGCGTCCTAGCTTCCAGCTATCTCCGCCATTATCACTGTCCCATATGTCGCCGCCCCTGGCACACATACTCGCGTCACCTATCAAGGATATGATGGCGCCATCACCGAGCACGGAACAAGCTTACCAACAACCTCCGCAATCGTTCCCTGTGGCGTTCACTAGTCCTCCGTCATCTTCGACTTTCGATATGCAAACCACCGGATCCAATGAGTGGTCGACGGTTGATCATCGGCCGTCTCGGTTATCCGCGACAATTGTCAACTCGATGACTACTTCACCGCCATTTATACCGACAATTTCCTCGACCGCGGAATATACGCCTACCATGGATCATCAGGAGACCACGAGACCCAATCAGTCCCCTTTGGTGAAGATTCTCGGCACCGAAGAGACGAAGATATCGACGATGTTTGCGTCGTCCCCGACCGTTCCACGAACTACGACGGCGCCTAGTTTGACCACCGATCCAATATTCTCGCATTACAAACAACCGGCCAAACCAATTCGCGGTCCGATGTATCTCATCATCCAGGGCCACTCGAAGGTAAAGACCTACAAGCCGACGGTGAACAAGCACGGCGTGCCTGTGGAGAATAACGAGATCGCGGAAAGCGTGACCGATCGACAACTGTCAAAGCTGGAACAGCTGATTCGCGAGAATACAAAGAACGGCGCCGTTGATTTGGCCGCCAAAAAAAAGAAGCTGGAAGCGGAGAGGGCGCGTGCCGAGGAAAAGCGCATTTCCTCGCACCAGGAAGATAGCCTCATGAGCCTAGTCGAGAGCGGCTTAAGCGGCTTCACCGCGTCACCATCGATGGAAGACGAGCGTCACGTGTCCAATTCGGTTGCGAGCATCGAGATCAATTAAAGATTCATCGTTTGCGCGCAGTTCTCCCGTGAGGGGATACCAAGCTTTGCAAACGGATGCTGAGGTAGCTGAGGGCACTTGCCTTCTTGCGGCGGAAGGGCAACCGCCGTTCTTTCAGTAGGGGCGAAAACTTTCGAAAGGGACGAAAAGTCTCCCTTGATTTATATTCGATTGTTGCTTACGCGCGAATCGTTGGATGAAAATCGATGAAAGATGTACGCGCGAGATGTAGGGATCGAAGTTTCATGTGGCTGGCCCTTCTAGCAGCGTCTCCCATTTTCAATGCGGGATCTATCTGGGAGATATGTGTAACTTCAATACGCCGGCAAACGAGGTTTTACGTTGTTATTTATTTCGTTTATCGTTCCGTGATGTTGAATGTCTTTATGTATTTTTTTTTTCACTTTTACAAATACCGCTTTTGTGGACAACCTGAGCGGATTTATAAATTTATAGATAACGAATTAACGATAACGAATTACGATACGCGATGACAGATATACGGATATGGACGTTTATTTCATTAATAATTTATTTAAATCGAAATATAATTCCATGCTTTGGTCATGCTTGTTATTTTTATAATTATTATGATTGTTATATTAATGAATATTTTTCAGATAATTTATTATTTATTTCGCTTAATATACGTAGGATAGGTATGCCATTAATTTATTTCAATTTGCGCATTAAACATGCATAAAGTTTCGCGACACAAGGTGTGCCGCAACTATAATTCAATCAGTGTCGAGATTATGTAATCATGCAACAATCGACGCGAGAAATTCGAGACAATTAACGACGCGATTAACGATGTTTTATTTATTTATTTTTTTAGATTCTTCGCGCCGATGGTTTATCACTGCACACCTTATAAAAGTTGATCACAAAGTCGCGATCCATCCATTATAAACCGAGATTTTTCGAAGTAATTTGGATTTTTGTCGCACAAAGACAATCATTTCCAAATTTCTTACAAAATCGCGTTACTTGGCGCGCGAAACTTGTCTCGCCATCTTGTACTTTTCCTTGGTTGCGTGTGTGGCTAAAGATCGTTTTTTATTTTTTTTTAATTTTAAAGTCAACGCGTTCGTTTACTCGAGATCGACGATCGTCATCTCGCGGTGATGACAAACCCTCGCTGTCACCGGATAACAGAGGCTCAACCAGGCAGTTCTCTCCATGTCCTGCCACATGCTTTCATCCACGATGAGAAAAGCACGCCAATTTCATATGTGCCAGTATACATAACGTTACATATGTATATATATAAGAGCATAATTATATATATACAGGATATCTGATATATATAGATAATATACGAATCGGTAGTATTTCTTATAAAAAAAATCTAAGCATCTTTTTCCTTTGGCAAAAAATATATTTCCGCAATTGTTTCCGACATGTCTCATTTTTCAGTGCATTTGCTTTCCGCGTAAGACTTTATGTGTTTGATTTTTCGTAAGATATAAATTTTTGTAGTTCTGTTATAATTAAATTTTTTATATTTACATTACATATAAGGATTATTATTTTATTATTTATTTTATTATTATTTATTTTATTATTATTTATTTATTATATATTTTATTATTTTATTTATTATATATTTTATTATTTATTTTATTATTTTATTATTTATTTACATCGGAGAAAAGCACACTTTGCTGTCAAGAAAATTTATCTCGAATAAATTTTTTTCTCTCAAATGTTTTATTAGAAAAATAATAAAAAATAGACTTAATTATGATAGAATTACACTGAAAGTTTTGCACAAATAATCATTCACGCGATAAATCAAGAAATAGCAAGTTCACTCTATTGACGTAAATATCTTGAAGAATCTTTTGATAAGGAATACGATACTGTCTGTATCCTATCTATATGGGACACCCTGTATACGTGTTACTCGCGTCAGTGCGGAATAAGCGATCGCTCGACAATTCTGATCGCGCATTCGACCTGTTTTTATCCTCGACGATAGTTACCGGGATCGCGAATGTGTGTGCAGCGAGTGAATACGAATTGAAAATCGCGTTTCACTCGCTGTTTTTTATGACGCGCGCTTTCTTTCGCAATCTAAATATTAAACGAACCCGTTTACGATTATCGCGGAGCGATATTACCAGGCCGGATTATTGCCTGCGTAGCTACTATCAACGAGGACCGGTCCGGGCAATCGTTTAATCGCGACACAGACGCGAAGCTTCGTGCTATATGCATGTAACAATATTATTTACCGTGCGACGTAGTCGAATAAAAGAAATACAGGATGTCGCAGAAGTAGCGAATTTATTCATAACGAAAATAGCATCAGAGTTCAGAATTATCCTTTCTTCGAGTCATGCATTTCTTATTCTTTCCGATATGATTATTGTATCTCTAAAATGGTAGAATTTGCTTTTAAAATTTAATAATATTCAGGTACGCTTTGCTAAAGTTGATTCTGTAAAATCTGATCGACGCTTTGATATTTCAGCGTTTCATCTGTCTCCCGCAAGAAAAAGCTTTGCAACTCCTGAGATATCTTGTACACACGTATGACGGTTGGTGAACGTAATTTATAGAGATTTCGATGTTAAGATAGGTTTCTTCTTTTAGTATTTATTGTGTTAGATGCAGATTTGTTGCAGACGAAAAATCTCGGTAATCAATCCAACATGCCATTCAATCTCTATTTGAGTCTCTTATTTATGTTACCTGTTCTAAGTTGGTACTTGTATCGAGACTTTTCGTCTACAACTTTTTTAATTTATTCCTCATGATCTATTAATTTATTGCAAACGTCATCGCCCATAGAATTTATCCGGTAGCAAAATATGCCACGATTTCTCGTCGTTCCATCGTCGTTCACCTCTACCCGATCCAATTTTCTATTCACTTCCCAGGCGATTCCCGCCCTCGAGAAAGGTTTGTGAAGCATAAAAAATCATAAGAATTCATAAAAAAAACCGAACTCCTTTTTGTTATATCAAGAATGACGACGGTTTCTCTCGAGTTTCTTTTCTTTTTTTTTATTTTGAGAAAATCATCGAGGGCTGGCGGGACTCTGCGAAAAGCATTCTAGAACCCTTATAACGTAAAACTTAACACTAACACTAGTCTTACACTCTATCAGTTACCAAACATATCGCGTACTAACAGCTCACACACTGTATCATGATACCCTTGTTCGTAGCGATCGTAATTAGGCGTAGTCAAAGTTACGCGCACCCACACTCAAATATATAAATATATACACAACACACATATATATATATATGTCTCACGCATACATACGATATAGAAATATATACTTCATATATATACATATTATGCGCATACGTATTATAAATAAATTATACGTACTTGGCGATGTTGCGTGAGCTCGCTATCACCTTAATTACGCATTCGGCGTTACGTTTTGCACGCATACGTTGCGATGTTAAGTTTATGTACTACATAAATTGTACCTGACGGTCACACACACACGCGCGCATTCTGTTGATTCTTCTGTTTTATTAATAAAGCATCTTATTATCGATTCCCCGATTAAGAGTTCCCTTTGAATCATCCTTGATGTTCTATTAAACATGGAAGAAAATTGCGATTTCTGAAGAGGAAAGCAATTACATTTTTAATTATATCCAATATATAGTGTGACTATCTTAAAATTATTCGTAACTGTGTAGTTATTTTCTTTAGTTTAATATACATTATGTATATACAATACATGTTACATTGCACGCGTCAGTCGTAAATTTTATTAAGATTTCGACGCCCCCTTCTTTCCCCGCGACCCTAACGGGATCTGTCAAAGTATAGATCGACGCGTTCAGGATTGGCTCTAACGATGGATAAATTTATATCAATGATATTGAAGCGATCTTATAATAAATGATAAATTTCTGTACAATTGGACGAGTGCATCTTGGTTGAATACGATTTATTACAGAGGCTATTAATTCGACTATTAAAATCAAAATGATTCAACAAATTTCTTGTTCATTTTTATGCAACCTCGGATTGCGTAGGATATGTGTCGCATCGCAAAACTGTCACTTTGTTTCGATTCATCCGATATAAAGCACATCGTATGCTAAAAATACCCAATAATTATTAATTTGATTATTAATTAATTGTTTTATTAAAATTGTTTTAAATGAAAGAGCATGACATAATATCTCAATTTGTCTAGTGCAGTAATTTTATCTCGTAAAAATATGGATATTGTGGTATTGAAATTTAGATGTAAATTTAATCGCACGATGATTGCACGCTATCGACAATTAAATAGAATACTTTTTTTTATATGATAAAACACGCGATATGCAACTTGTATAAACTCGCTTCGCGCGTTTATTTCGATTATCCTTAATTGAAGCAGCCAAACTGGTACACGAGAATGACAAATTTCCTGTGCGCGGACTGATTGCGTTTGCAGTTTCGCTTGGAGTGTTTGCGGTTTCGTAAATTCTGCAATTATTAGCTCCCATCGGGCCTGATTTATGACACTGGCTTACTCAATCGCGCCGCTTGATGGAAATATGATATTAAAATTACTCCCTTTAGTGCAAAATATTTTCCTGGAATATATAATAAATTTATTGCAACAAATAAATTTTATAATTTATTTGTCGAGCTTGATGCGACTTGATTACAAACTATGTAAGACCTTGATAAACATTTTTTTTCTTTCTTTTACTGCAGATAAATTATATTTTATTTATTTATAAATTATATTATACAATATTATTATATATATTATAATATTATATTAATTAATAATATGTTATGTATTGTATATTAAATAATATATAATACATGAAATATAATGATAAATAAAAAATATTTATGCAATAATATAAATTATAATTTATATATTATATATTTTATATATTAATATATTTATTTTTTGTATTATATGTATATTTTTATTGATTAATATATTATAATACAACTATATATTATTAAAGATGTTTGATTGTTTGCTGTCATTTAATTATACATGTGGAGCAGAAAGATTGCGAAGAGAAATAAAAAATGTCGTTGAAATCGGTAGTGGATCCAAGTATGGGTGAATAAAACTCCAGAGATAGCTTGGGATGCATTAAAAACACGAATTTAAAATTAATTTATAGTGTAACTTTTTTTAGTTTCAATGTCGATGAAATAAATCTCACGCGGAGAACAGGGGTCTGGACCCGGAGGCCCTGCGATCCATGTCGGAAAAAAGAATCGGCGAGACAAAGGGGGCAAAAAGGGATCGATAAATGACCGATTAAGGTTTTTCAATGTACCGTGCTGTAAGCTAACTGCTGTCCTTCATTATAATTAAATTAAATATAATTGAGAAATTATTTTTATGTATATATTTATTTATCATTTATTTATAAAAGAAAAGGTATACATATAAATATATATATATATATATATATATATATAAGTTGAATTAAAAATATTAAAAATATTATATACTACGATTGAAATATATATATATATATATCACATATGAAATCTATATAAATATGTTTCTCATGTATGAGTCTCTGAATAAGAATTGACGTCTTATTATCCCAGGAGAAGACGAAAT